TTCTTAAAATCTCCAAGATATTAGATTAATCTAATGTGATCAAGTCCCCAAATCCATTTGAATCTCTACTTTGCAGAAGTAAAATGAGCTCCCTCATTATGATAAATTGTAGGTTTGAATTGAGTACCAAGTTACAATTGTAGGGCTTAGCAATCTATTAGCTTTTTCCTTATGGTTTACTTCCGGGAAGGTTGCGACAGTGTGTTTCAATTTCTTACATTCGTAAGTAACTTTCCTCACGTAAAACTTTCTAAGCGAACTTCTTTGCCATTGCCAGATATGATAAAAATGTTATGTTCTAATATGTGAAAAACGGATCTTGCAACTAAATAATTCGCCAAAGAAATAAACGCTGAACAAAAAAAATACTAGGAATTTACGTGGTTCGATCCAAATGTCAGTTCCAACTCTATGGAAGACGCAGCAATAAACAATCCATCAATAATTAGAAAATTACGAAGTTACAATCGCTAGATTACATCCTAATTCATGGTGTTTATGAATAAATCAACCTAAGAACAAACTTTGCACAAATCATCATTCGCCCCTTGTGTACAGAGATATCTTCGTATGGCTTTGAGAAGTTTTTTTTTTTTGGTCTTTGAAATGAAGCTCTTCATTCATTAAACACCAAAAGATAACATGATTATGGTTTTCTGAACACAAAAGATCACGTAAAGGCAATGGTGGCACCGCCAGCCATTTGTGAGGAACGGTCATTTTACGATGGATCTTGGTGATCCAATCTGCTACTTGGTTCGATTCCCATCGGCCAAATGGCAACTTAACCGAACTGGACCTGGCGTGTTTCTCTTTATATTCTTGTATAATGGGCCAAAGTGTCCATGTACATGATTCTTCGCCCGTGATAATTTTCGAAAGTAATAAGTTGCCGGAACTTAACTGCATGTGCGGATCACTTTGCTTCATTTCACTATCTTCTTCCAAGTACAACAGAGCAGCTTGCAAGGCTAGGGCTTCCACTTCCATGGTCGAAGTTGCGATGACCCATTCCGGGCAAAAGTACACTATAAGAGCCATAACTTGTGTACGGCGATTACTTTGGTGCCATCATTTTTTTTCAGATCACTTTGGTGCCAAGTTGGAGAAAAATAGATCACTTTAGTGACTCCGGCCAAAATTCCGGCCAAAAAGCTGACCTGGCATTTATATTAAAAAAAAATGGTCTGACTTGTACACGTGGAAATTATGTGGCTTTTTTTCAATTTTTTTAATTTTTAGAAAAATAATAATAATTTAAAAAAAAAAAAAAAAAAAAAAAGGTTGCAGCAGCGGCGAGGGAGCCCTCGCCGCTGCTGCCGCCAACCCACCACCGCCGGGAAGGGCCGGCGGTGGTGGGCGTCGCCGGCCCACAGTCGGGGCCGGCGACCCTCGCCTCGCCCGGCCGAGGGCCGGATCCGGCGAGGCGAGGCCGACCTCGCCGTCGCCCGGGTCGCGATGGCGAGGTTTCGCTCGCCGGATCCGGCCCTCGGCGGGCGAGGCGAGGGTCGCCGGCCTCTGGCCGAGGCAGGGCGACCCTCGCCGACCACTGCGCCCACCACCGCCGGCCCTTCCCAGCGGTGGTGGGTTGGCGGCAGCAACGGCGAGGGCTCCCTTGCCGCTGCTACAACCTTTTTTTTTTTAAATAAATATAATTTAATTTTTTTAAATAAGTACACGTCAGCGGGCTAAACGGCGTCGTTTTTGGTTTTTAATACTGACTGGACCTCTCCGGCGAGCCATGTCAGTGCCACATCGGATTTCCGGCGAGCCACGTCAGCATTAGTACTAAAATGATCGTTTTTCAAAAAGGTTGGCACCAAAGTGATCTCCGTACATAAGTTGTGGCACTTCTGGTGTACTTTTCCCCCCATTCCGCAAACCCAACGATCACTTTCTCGGCTGAGTCACGGCACATGCCAGCAACTACACCATGGCTTTGAGAAGTTCACAGTGTGGCTTCGGCGGCAAAAGAGACTCAATGAAAAGTCAAACCCTCTCTTTTTCTTTATTTTCTTTTTTTATATATTCAAAAGAAGTGCCTCCTCTTGTACGCAATATAAAGGAAGTACAGGAAGTCAAACTGGTAAAAAATAACCTTCTCCAACAGATATGAAAGCCAACTTCTGCCACCATAAGATTCCTGATTTTATTCGGATTAAAAGGACACCAGATTTTGAATAAAATCAAATTCCTCCAAAAGGGTCAAGTTTCGTACATAGCTCATACTCGAGACATAATTTAATAGAATCCATGGCCTCTGTTATATGTATGTGTCGTCTTAGGAGCCAAAAAATCCACATCTAAAAAACTACATATACAGCCGTACTTCAGCCCGGAACTTTTACAATTAGTGGGTAATCACCAATCCGGAATTGTAATTTGGGGTCATTCTTCAACTTCGGAGGTCATAGTATGGTTCATCCATTCATACAATCATTCAATTTCCGAGTTCTTTCTTTTTCATTTCCAAAATCTTTTATGTTGAGTTTTTGCTCAGGAGACTTTTTGGTCGTCCTTGATTTACCATATCAGATCCTCCCATTCCCACTAGCACAAGACATTAGGCTTCTAATTTTAAATTATTAAATAGGAGATTTAAGTGGAAGTTCCCTTCGACCAATTGAAGTAATATAAAAATGTTGTGTCAACTTTATTTTTGGACTTTTTGTTTTTTGGTATGGCTGTTCAAGCAAAGTCCGGATCAATTTTGTGCACTTCAACTAGACCACTTCCTAATAAGATCTTAAGGACGCACTCTTCCATAACGAATTAATGCTTTTAGGATTTTACTCTTGAAGTGCTCTCGACAAAACTTGAAACTAAATCACAAGGAGGTGAGCAAATTTCCTTAACATTTAGGCTACGAAGGACAACCATTCTATTTCAGAAATCAACTTCTGGCTAAAAATTGATTTTCTATTTTTGTTCCTGAACGAGTTTCTTAGCAAAAAAATACGTTTGATAACAACACAAAATTTCTGTTCCTGAAACAAAAATTTATTTGATAACGGCACAAAATTTCTCCCTCTTGAGTGGTTGGCGAGTGGACGGCAGGCAAATGGCGGCGACGGACGGCGGACGGTGGCAGCGAACGGCAGGCGACGAACAGCGGGGGGAGGTGGCGGCAGACTGCGACGCGGCCAGTGCTGAGGACAGCGGGAGACGGTGGCCGGTGGCAGGAGACGGTGGCCAATGGACGGCGGGCGGCGGCCCACGGCAGCCGGTGGGGGGAGACTGGTGGCGACGGGAGGAGGATGACCAGCGGCGAGAGACGGTGACCATTAGACGGCGGCCAGCGGTGGGAGGCTGGCAACAGCCGGAGGCGGGCGGCCGACGGGAGGGCGACCGACAGGAGGAGGGCGGCCGGCAGCAGGAGACAGTGGCCGGCGGTGGGAGGCAGGCGGTGACGGGAGGAGGGCAGCCGGCGGCGGGAGACGGTGGCCATTGGACGATGGGCTGTAGCCCATGGCAGCCGACGGCGGAAGACGGCGAATGGCGGGAGGCGGGCAGCAACGGAGGAGGGCGGCCGACGGCGGGAGACGGTGGCCAATGGATAGAGGGCGGCCGGCAACGGGAGGCGGGCGGCCGATGGACGGCGGGCGGCGGCCCACAGCAGGCGACGGTGGGAGGCAGGCGATTGTCGGAGGTGGGCGGCGGCAGAAGGAGGGTGACCGACAGCAGGAGACGGTGGCCGGCAGTGGGAGGCGGGCCGCAGTGGAAGGAGAGCGGTTGACGATGGGAGACGGTGGCCGGTGGACTACAAGCAACGGCCCACGGCAGCCGGCGGCGAGAGACGGCGAATGGCGAGAGGCGGCGGCCCGCAAGTGGGCGGCGATGGGCAGCAGGTGGGCGACCAACTAGTAATGAGAGCGAGCGATAAGAAAAATTTTAACTTATGATTTCTATTTCATAAATAGAAAAGTATAAAATTTTAACTTTTGATTTCTGTTCCAAACTTATTGCTGGAACAAAAATTTGTTCCAAAAATAGAAAATGAAATTGTGTTACGAAACGGATTTCTGTTCCAAGAAATAGATAAACAAAATGGTTATCCTTCGCAGCCCTAGTTTATCATCTATTTAGAAAACATCATCTTTAGTAAAGATTCCACCGGTAAAGATTCCACGTTACTTGGCACTAGCCGGTTGTCTTTGCTTTTCTATTATACCTGCAAAAGACAGACTCGGCGGAAGGCGTCAATGCTTTTCTATTGTACCTGAAATAGAGAAGAGACTTCTTTTCTATTATAATTGCAGCAGACTGGAGACTCCTTTTCTTCCTTCGAGACTCGAATTCCTCATTGCCTGGAAATCGCCGGTTGTCTTATTATACTTGCAAAAGACAGAGACGCAGTCAAAGGAGTCGACACTTTCTCAAGACTCGAACGTTGCCCTTGAGAAACACGACAACTTTGCAACAACTCTGCAACAACTCTGCAAAAGTCTAGTTATTGGGTTGATGTGGTTTGTGAAGTATTAATGACGTCATAAATTTTTGGAAGATATTTCAACAAATTTACTTTTTTAAGATTAAACTCTTCAATTATGTCGTGCGATTTTCATATTTATTAAATTCAAATTCTTTAGGTCATTTAGTATCACTGTGCTCTTTAAAAATGGTATTTTGGCCACCCATTTCGAATCCAGCCAACCCAATAATGGATCTTTTAGGCCAAAATTAGTGAGGTGGATGATGGCTCTAACCTTCCATTCTTTAAGGTTTTACGAGTTGTAACCTTTTATAATCTTGAACGTATTTTTATATCAATGTAAATTTAAAACTCAAGTCAAGGTCTTCACAATTTTTAAACATTGAAATAAGATATCCATCCAAACAGAAAAGTACAAAGGATTTTTTTAAATGTCTTATAAAATAATATCATATGCACTCAAACTAATAGTGTGTCGTGCTTGACGTGTCAAGTATGGCGGTTGCCTCTATATAATATGATTCAACACATTTTGTTTTGCACCCTATCGATCACTCTAGTCATATTATCTAGGGAACAAGCCTGTTGAGTAATACTTTTATCAAAGAGATACCCAAAACACCAAAACAAATGGATCCTCTAAATCTCCTTCTCTTGCTTCTTCTCACGTTTGCTCTTACCATCAACGCCCAATTCCCAGCAAGCTACTGTGGTTCGACCGGCAACTTCACCGCCAACAGCACCTACCAAACCACCCTCACCACCCTCCTCTCCTTCATCTCGGCCAACAACTCCTTGTCCTTCTCCTACGGCTTCTTCAATGCCTCCGCCACCGTCTCTGGTGCCTCCCAAACCCTTTATATCTTTGGCCTCTGCCGCGGTGACTTAACCGCCGTGAGCTGCCGCGCCTGCCTCGATGCCTTGGCCTCTGACATGCGATGCCTCTGCCCTCTCCAGAAGGAGGCACTCCTCTACACCGGGAATTGCATCATCCGGTACTCGAACGCCTCGTTCTTCATCACAGTCGCCACAGAACCCACCTACGTGGCGAGTTCTGGTGAAGATGTCTCGAGCCCGGAAACGTACGACGCAGCAATGACAAAACTCCTGAACGGTCTATGGGCCGAGGCAGCAGGTGGCGGCTCGCTGAGAAAGTACGCATCAGGAAACGAATCAGCAGGGCCGGACATGATCTATGCATTGGTGCAGTGCATGCCAGACTTGACGGAGCAGCAATGCAGCAACTGCCTGGTGTTAGGCGTCCAGGCGATAAGGGATTGCTGTGACAGGTACACAGGAGCACGGTTCATGGTGCCAAGTTGCATGATCATGTACGAGACCAATCATCGATTCTTCGACCCAGTCAGTGAGCCACTGCCGCTGCCACCGCCACCATCGCAGGAGGTAGATGTGCTGCCTTCACCACCAGGTATGTTGGGTCCTGTTCAGGTAAGGCATTGTGTCTTTTTTATTTCTATAATATTATGCGGGTTTCACGTGAAATTCACACATTCAATTCTTCATAGGAGCTTAATCTACATGCTCTATAAAACCATAAGATTTTTTTTATTGACAGATGCTCAGCATATACATGGATACTAGTCAATTATCACAGTCAGTTCATTGAATCACAACTTATGGCATTCATTGCTCGCAAGCTGTCGTATGAGATTGTGAGTCTAGGCTAGGGTAATGAATCAATAGCGGATATTCATTACTTCTCATCATTCAGTCAACAAGAAAAGGGAAAGAAAATTGCGAGGCCATAATTGAAACATTGGGGACACGAACTTGCATGAGATCTTCGATTATGACTGGAACTTTATACCATCCGTCGTCGAAGGAAAGGAGAAGCTAAAACTTGCCTTAATTGTACTTGATTGTCCGAAATGAAGCTAATCAGAATAAGACTGATGATTTGACCAAAAAAATGAATAAGATTGATTAGCAATGTTAGACATACAAAGAAATTTTATTGAAGTTTTCTTATTAGGTGTTGAAATAAATGGGACCCGTGTATTAAACGATCATCGCGGCCCGAAATGGTGACCCAACCCGGGGACCACCACTGTGATTGCTGTTCTCTCTACAGCAGTGGTCATCTGGGAGAGAGAGATCTAAATCGATCTAGGGTTAAAACCATGTAGGTGGCCCGCACAATGGGAGCGTCAAATAACACTGCAAAAAATTTGCAAACTTGCATTGAATGTTCCTTGCTCCACTCTGTTTCTGTAAACCATTTCACTGTCTTTACTCCGATTTCTGTAAGAAATTCATGAAGGTAGTGAAATTGAAGTCGAAAAGAAAACCAATTATCCCTAAAAACTTAAAATTTAGAGAAGAATGTGGTATATTCCAAATCATATTAGACGAAAAGTGTAGGTTGACAAAATCCAGAAATCTGAATTACTGTCCCTTGAGTTATCGGAGAATGGCGCAATGTATTTTTCACAAAGTAATTTGAAGTGCGTATATGTTCTTGTTATAGATTTGCAACATGAGTTTCGTTTTCATAGTCGTTGTTAGAGTAATTAAACATTAAACCACGCATTCATCTAACAGTTTAAGCTTTTAGACTAATAACTATGATTGCACCAGCAAAATAGTAAGAGCTGCATCGTTTTAGAACAGTTGGCAGTATCTCCACAAAATATCTCAGCCGTAATGGTGCTTTAGTAATTTCTCTAGTGTGTTACTTAGTAATCAGTGGGCAATGATCATAAACATAATGTTCCTTTACTCTTGCAGTTGGAAAGAGCAATTCGACGAGGACTGTGATCATTGCAGTTGTCACATGTGTTTCTGCACTCCTTATTATCGGCGTTGTCCTGCTCCTGAAAGTGAAAAGGAAGATGAAGCAGCTCAGACAAAGAGTTGACGGCGAGTCTTTATCCTTTTGCATTGCAACAGAAATTGTTCATGAGGTTAAAAAAGATCATGAAAATAATAAAGTTGACTAATGACTATGCTTGCACCAGCAAAATAGTAAGAGCTGCATCGTTTTGGGCAATTAGGCCAAGAACTGTATAAGGGACTAGGGTTTAGGATTTAGGGCTTATTAGTAATGCTTGTAGGTGCAATTATATATACTAAAAGTTGGTGACTTTTGATTATGAAAACTATGAAAAGATAACGATGCTCTGAATGACCGAATTTTTGTCTTTTTAGGTGAAGCTGTGGATGAAATTATCACGGCGGAGTCGCTGCAATTTGATTTCGGCACTATTAGAATGGCAACGGATAACTTCTCTGATTCCAAGAAGCTTGGACAAGGTGGTTTTGGTGCTGTCTACATGGTAATAATTAACAAAGCACATCCTCTGCTCTCTTATATTCAAAATTTAAGAAACCAAATAGTCATAGATGACATCAATCTGATGCTCTTCGAAATGCTTCCATGTACCAACCGATACTCACAAGGACCTAATTTGGTGAAATTTCAGGGTCAACTTTCCAATGGACAGGAAATCGCGGTGAAACGGTTGTCGCAAAATTCCAGCCAAGGGGAAGTAGAATTCAAGAATGAGGTCATGTTACTAGCTAGGCTACAACATAAGAACTTGGTCAGGCTCCTAGGTTTCTGTCTGGAAGGAGTCGAACAGCTTCTCATTTACGAGTTTGTGCCCAATTCGAGCCTTGATAAGTTCATATTCGGTATGTTTCTCGGGCTGTCATTCGTGAAATCAGATCCTCACAAAATTATTAATGGACATATTATAGAATGTGTTTCCACCAAAATGTGTAGATCCCTTGAACCGTGTGAATCTTAACTGGGATAGGCGTCACAAGATAATAATGGGTGTTGCTCGAGGGATGCTTTACCTACATGAAGACTCTCGACTTCGTATTATCCATCGGGACCTCAAAGCAAGCAACATTTTGTTGGATTCAGACATAAATCCTAAGATATCGGATTTCGGTATGGCAAGGTTGTTCGAGTTGGACCAAACTCGGGCAGAGACAAACCGAATCGTGGGGACCTAGTAAGTGCCCCAACCTCCTAGAGCTAATGATTACCAAAAGAACAAAGCAAACTATAGAGCTAATATGGTGGACTTATTGTGATGAACAGTGGATATATGGCGCCAGAGTATGCGATGCATGGAACTTTCTCGGTCAAGTCAGATGTGTTCAGTTTTGGAGTGCTGATTTTGGAGATTGTGAGTGGTCGTAGGAACAATCTTTACAGTATGGGCAATGACGTGGAGGCCCTACCAGGCTATGTGAGTAGAAAAACATACCATCTCATTTCGCATAATATTCCGGAGATCAATTTGCTCAATGTTTGTAAGATGGTTTGCAGGTTTGGAAGAATTGGAGGGAAGGATCAATATCGAACATCATCGATCCCTCTATAACTTTTGGTCCGAGTACTGAAATTATGAGGTGCATCCAGATTGGTCTACTATGTGTCCAAGAAAATGCGTCTAGCCGGCCAACGATGGCCTCAGTCCTTCTCATGCTTAACAGCCACTCGGTCACTCTCCAAGTGCCGTTGAAACCTGCATTCTTCTTACACAATGGTGCTGAATCAGATATGCCAGATACGCAAGATTACAATTCGAGGGTATATGAGGTCGAGAGATCAAGAAGTAAATCGAACCAGTTCTCACAAAATGAGGCCTCTATGACCGAGCCATATCCACGGTAGCCTTAGAAAATGGGTAATCAGCGAGACCTACGCATTGCTTTTTGTGTTTGTCATGATTTTAAGATCATCAAAATTACATTCTCATGATTTAGTACTTCCTCTGAATTATTGAGGAGTTAAATGGATTCAGTGGCTTGGGATTAAATCCACATTTATAGGATGTTGGAAGCGAAGGATACTCACAAAAAGTCATGCCTTATACTACTTGCGTATGTAAAGACGAACAGCTTGCTCTAAAGCAGTTTCGTGCCAACGGTAGTCCACATATTCATTGATTTTCTATGCCGACATTTGTGATCATTCATTGGGTGGGCGGAATAAGAAGATAAGTTAGCAATATTTTACCTTTCCTTTAAAAACATAAATACATAAACATCAAGCACAAGCTTGGTCCCCCGACCCAAAGATTCTAGATCCGTCGCTATTCATACATGAGAATGCATGTGAGGCGTAGAAGTGAAGGCGATAAAAAAGAGGAGGTTCTTCTCTTCCACTTAATGCAAGACAAGAGACAGTCAAATCAAAGCTTATGTCTCATCTCAATAACTAGGCTAAAAGTATGACATTTCACAACGCACATTGCAGACGAATATGTCTACATCTTAAGTTTAGGCATGCCGCATTTGCTTGGGTTTGATCAAAGTCGGGGGACCTTTTATAGTATAACTCTGTTCACACCAACCTACAATCGTATCCGATTGTAATCATATGTCTCTTCTCGTAATTTCTATATGAATCATCGCAACATACGAAAAAGTTATATAACCTACTGTCCAATAACCATCACATCTTCGAAGATTCGATGTAAATCCTCGAAAACCTATAAAATCCCTAGTTAATTAATTTGGGTCTAGTCAATTATTTACTCTTATATCTGTAAATTTCATGAACCTAATTCGTTGACTTTCTGTCCTGTGACTACTTTCCTTATCTTATCCATGAATTGTCGTCTTGATCTATCAAAGGTACTACATCCTACTTTTTCTTCGGTTAGTTTGTCATAGGAGCATATATTGTCATGATGAATCAAAAAGTACAATATCCTTTGCTTATGTTGGATTTTAAATAATTCTTATGGATGTATGGAGGTACTTGTTTTATCTTGTTTGATATTGGCAATATGAACTTTGAGATTGTATGGATATTAAGGCTGTGCATGGCAACTTGCCAAATAGTGTTTGATTCTGTTCTTTTGTTCCTAGAATCAGTTTGGGAATAGAAATCCGTTTGTTTAATTTTTTTATTCTGGGCACAAATTCTTGCAAATTTGTGCCCAAAATTAGTTTTGGAGCAAAATCAAGAATAAAAAAAAATTAGCTTCTTGATTCTGGGAACAAAAACGAGAATCAGTTTTTTTTTCTTTTTCTTTTTCTTGGTTTTTAATATAGCTTCTAATGTCCGGCGCGAGGGCCACCCTCGCCGTATCTGGCGAGATTAAAATATTTTAATAAAAAAATATTATTAATAAAAAAAATTTTACCGGCCATGGCCAGCGACCAGGCCATGGTGAAAAAAATAAAAAAAAATATTATTAATAAAAAAAAATTTACCGGCCATGGCCAGCGACCAGGCCATGGCGAAAAAAATAAAAAAATATTTTCAATAAAAATATTTTTTATTAAAATATTATTAATAAAAAAATTATTTATAAAAAAATATTTTACCGGCCATGGCCAGCGACCAGGCCATGGCAAAAAAAAATAAAAAAATAATTTCAATAAAAATATTTTTTATTAAAATATTATTAATTTATTTATAAAAAAAATATTTTACCGGCCATGGCCAGCGACCAGGCCATGGCGAAAAAAAAAGAAAAAAATATTTTCAATAAAAATATTTTTTAGTAAAATATTTTAAAAAAAATTATTAATAAAAAAATTTTTTATAAGAAAATTTTTTACCGGCCATGGCCAAAAAAATAAAAAAATTATTTTTAATAAAAGTATTATTAATTAAAAAATATTTTACCGGCCATGGCCAAGAAGGAGGAGAAGAAAAAAAGAAAAGAAATAAATATTAAAATATTTAAAATATTATTAATAAAAAGAAATTTTATGCCGATACCAAACGCATTTCTGTTCTTTTACTATTTCAGGAATAAAAATTTTGGGCCGTTACCAAACGCCTTCAAATGCTCAGAATCAAAAAAAATCATTTCTGACCAGAATCTGTTCCTGGGCACAGAATAGTTGTCATGTGCAGCCTATAAGTACTCCAAGCCATTACTATTTTTTGTGGAGTGCTTAAGTGATATATGGAGCCAATTTTTATGCATCAAACTAAGATTATTGTCCAATTTAGTCAAAGACATTTTATCTATATGTATGTCGATGCTAGGAGATTCGCGAGGAATTAGATTTAAGATATAGCTCAAAACGCTTGTTGGTGAAGCTAAGACTTTTCTTTTCCTCCTTATAGTTTCAATTCTTTTCATTTTAGCCTTCTTATGACCTATACGAATTAAAAGTCGTAGTGCTCGTCCAAATAACCGGAGATGAGTTATGGTTCTAGTACCGCCCTCAACTCTTCATGTTTTTACTTGAATACGAATTATGTTCATCACGCCTTCCTGACCCCACGAGGTCTATAGTACCATCAAAGTCCACGTCCAGTGCTAGCTGACGGATTATGAAAGACAATCGGGGCAGCTTGACTGCAATTAATGTAGATATGGCCGTCTACATGCTTGATTGATTTTTGCAAGAATTGATTCCGGCTGAACATGCCTAATGTGAAGAAGAGGACGACCACACCACTTCATCATCCAAATCATCGCGAGGGACACAACGGCGAATACAACGGATGTTTTAGACATTCTATTGGGTGTAGTTTGTTTTTAATTGTTATTAGGACACTTGTACGTATAATTTTTTAAAAAATTTGAAGATATACTTGTATTTATTCATGTTTAATTGAATAATTGTTTTGCATTACATTTCCTTTTAAAATAAAAAAACTATATATAGGTTCTAGGTCTTATGGCCACCCATATTTAATTTCAAGGATTGATTGTGTAATTTCTTTTTATACCTTAGCAAATTGAATGTCTTAAGCTCCATTTTTTTTTAGTGGTAGTACATGCGTTAGAAATGAATTTGGTCAAATAGAAAAGGTCTTGTCTTGCACGAAATTGCATGGTAAAGGACATGTAGCACATTTGCAAGCTAAAGCATTGGCTAGTGGACGCGCGGGGAAGATTACTCAATCAACATTAAACTTGTTATGTGCATATTAATTTAGTCATAAACTTTTCAATTTTTTCAATTTAATCCAAAATCTTTGCGTTAAATTCTGATATAGTCATTTGAATTAATTTTCACCAGAAATTGCTGATGTAGTGGTACAGTCATCACCAGTTGTCCTATGTAGCATGCCAGCAATCTAACGTGAACAAATTTATTCCAAACGACATCGTTTCGAGTAATTTTTTGAATTTTATAGATTTTCTTATCTTTTTTCTTTTACAGTTCATCCTCTTTTTTTCTTTTACTATCCATCTTTTTTGTTTCTTCTTTTTTACTAAATCTTGAATATCAAATCCAGGCACTGCGTAACTAGAAAAAAGAACCTCTTAGCTCTCTTTGGATCAATTGTCCACAGCTCTACCAGCTTATCAGGAGCTGTTAAATAATGTTTCGAGTCTGAGCCCGTGTACGATATGCCTACTTCAAATGCAAATTGTGGCCATAAGAAGTGGATATAGATCAACAGTCAAGTTTGACCGCATATTAGTTGGACTCCTCTAAAGCCGTACAAGGGACCTTATTTTGCCGTTAGATGAGATTCTTGGCCTTATCTATTTTTTGTTCTTAAAGAACAAGAGGAATTGATAAGGATTTTTCCTTCCGTTTAAAAAAAAAGTAAGGCAAGTGGAGATCGTATTCTTTCTTGATTTGTCAAAGCTGATTTGTTGACTCGTATACAAATTTAGCCGCATGAGAAAAGTAAAATAATGAGGCTCTTGGTGTTAAGCGGCCATGGAGTTTTTCTTCGGAGAACGTACAGAGAGCTTTAACGAAGAGTTCTTTGATCAGCGGCACGAAGAGCTTTGACCACATGCGGATTTGCGCTGTGAGTGAGTTGTTTATTTATTTGTAAACACTTTGGGTTTGGGTGTAATCTCGGTGTAGGAAATACTTGAGCGTATGCGTGATCGTAATTATAATTCTCCGATTATCACGAATGTAGGTACCGATACTCAAATCGGACCATATAAATCTCTGGTATCCTTATTAGTCCTCGTTTATTTTTCGGGTGATTCCTTGTTGATTTAAATTGCAAGAACCTGTCAGTTTCCGCATTGATATTACAGCAGGAGCCATGGCCTTCTTCGCTTCTATACTCTCCAAAATCGAAGAACTATCCACTAGGTTACTAAACCGATGCCTTGAACTCGCGCTCTTCTCTCCCAAATCGCCTCCACCTGTATTCTCATGCTTCGAATCGGATGGCCCCTGCCCGTCGTTGAGCTTGGATCTAAAATTCTCAATGTCTATGTAGGTGCAGAGCAGATCATCCTCCGAAGCCAAAGTCCTCGAAGCTTCCAGAAGTCCCGCGCTCTCAAAAATTGACCTTGGAATGCGCTCGCTAGTCGTGCCCGTCGCGCAGGGCAGCAAACACTGGCTAGACTTGGAGTTTCTAAGGAGAGCGAATGTGGGGGCTGTGGTTTGGGTTTTGGAGGTGGATCTTTCATTTCCATGGCTCGTTCTTCGGTGTGAGCTTCTCTATGCGTCGTCTGGTCATTGTGACGAAGAAAAAAGGAAAGATGAACAATAAAAGATAGAGAGAATTGATAACAGAAAAAGAAAGAGAAAATATAATCTGAAAAATTCATAAAATTACTTCTCCGTGTCATTTTGAGCCACCTCTTGACCCCGTGAGAGCCACATTTAGAATCAGACATGTGCAGCCATCTATATACATTGATGGGATTATCTATACGGTACAAATCATTTGATAGTAAATGTTTTATCTATTATTATTAGCATTTCTAATCTCTAGAAGAAGTGGTAGATTACACGCGCACCGGACGATGTGTTTACTCCACATCATGGAGGTTGATTTACTAACAATATGTGCGGATTCATCTAGATTGGGGAGAATAGGAGATCTAAGTCCTAGAAGAGGAGGGTTCAGCAGAAGCTAAGTGGAATTTGGCTTGAAATCAGGTACTTTTAAATCTACAAAGTTACTAACTTTTGAAATAAAAAGGTAGGTTTCAATATATCACAGGGAAGGTAAGTTTTTCACATCAAGAAAACTAAGTTTTTCGCACTTAACCCTAAACTTTTATCAGTAGTGGTTAATAGCCAAAATCGGGAATCGAAATTTGGGGTCGATCTTCCAGTTAGCAAATCTACGGTTGCTCCATTCATTAGCAATCATTCAATTTGCAAGTCCTTTCTTTTTCATTTCTGAAATCTTTTATGTTTGAGTTATTGCTGAAGAGACTTTTAGGTCGTCCTCGGTTTACCACATCAGATTCTCCCATTCCCACTAGCCTTACACGCTAGGTTTCTAATTTTAAATTATGGAATAGGAGATTTAAGAGGAAGTTTCCTCTGACCCAACAAAGTAATATATATAAATATGTTGTGTCAACATTATTTTTCGACTTCTTCTGTTTTGGTGTAGCGGTCAAGTGAAGTTCAGATCAATTTTTGCGCATTTTGATTAGCCCACTTCCTCATGCGATCTTTGTGACATCCCTGAATTTAATTCACTCGAGGTATTTGTCTACTTTGGCCCATCCCATACCGAGCCAAGCAGGAAGTCACCCATCTTAGTTATGCTCTCACCTAAGCACGCTTCCAAAGCTAAACATTGCCGTTATGTCAAAAGGCACATTCATGAGTTAATTCATATTCACATATATATTGCAGAATCGTTCTCCCCATATTCGGTACACAGTTTGGTCCATTCCTACCCCCTTCACCATCCTAGAAGCCTGCCAAAAGCCACTTTTTGTCCAAGCTCTCTAGCCCGTCGATCACTCCCCACCCTCATCGGACTGAGTCGTTACAATCTTAAGGATGCACTCCCCCGCATCCGCATCGGATTGATGCATTCAGAATTTTATTCCTGGAGTGCTCTAAACAAAACTTGAAATTAAATCACAAGGAGATGAACAAATTGCCTTAACATCTAGTTGATCATCTGTTGAGAAAACATCGTCTTTAGCAAAGATTCCACCGGTAACGATTCCACATTGCTTGTAAATCGCCCGTTGTCGTTGCTTTTCTATTATACTCGCAAAAGACAGAGACTCGGCAGAAGGAATCAATGCTTTTCTATTATACCTGCAAAAGACAAGAGACTCCATTTCTATTATAATCGCAGATGACAGAGACTCCATTCAAAGGAGTCTTTGCTTTTCCATTAGAGTCAATGCTCCTTCGAGACTCGAATTCCTAATTGCTTGGAAATCGCCCGTTGTCTTCTGGTACTTGCAAAAGACGGAGACGCAGTCAAAGGAGTCATCAAAGGAGTCAACAGCTTCTCGAGACTTGAACGTTACCCCTTGAGAAACACGACAACTCTGCAACAACTCTGCAAAAGGTTGGCAATCCGGGTTGATGTAGTTTGTGTTTTTTTGGCTGAAGTATTGATGACGTGACAAATTTTCATAAGATATTTCAACATATTTACTTTCTTAAGATTAAACCTTTCGTTTATGTCGTGCGATTTTCATATTTACTCAAATTTTCAAATTCTTTAGGTCATTTAGTATGACAATGCTCTTTAAAAATGGTGTTTTTGCCACCCATTTCGAATCCACCAACCCAATAATGGATCCTTTAGGCCAAAATTAGTGAGGTGGATGATGGCTCTAGCCTTCCATTCTTGAAGGTTTTACAAGATGTAACTTTCTGTGATCTTGAACGTATTCTTATATCAATGTAAATTTAAAACTCAACTCAAGGTCTTTACAATTTTTAAACATTGAAATAAGATATCGATCCAAACAGAAAAGTACAAAGGATTTTTTTAAATGTCTTATAAAATAATATCATATGCACTCAAACTAATAATGTGCCGAGCTTGGCGTGTCAAGTATGGCGGTTGCCTCTATATAACATGATTCAACACATTTTTGTTTTGGGAAGGAGCCTGTTGAGTAATACCTCTATCAAAAAAAAATGGATCCTCCAAATCATTTTCTCTTGCTTCTTCTCATGTTTGCTTCCACCATAAACGCCCAATTCCCAGCGACCTACTGTGGTTCGACTGGCAACTTCACCGCCAACAGCACCTACCAAACCACCCTCACCACCCTCCTCTCCTCCATCTCCACCACCAACTCCTCGTCCTTCTCCTTCGGCTTCTTCAATGCCTCCGCCGCTGTCTACGGTGCCTCCCAGACCGTCTACGTCTTTGGCCTCTGCCTCGGTGACTTTACCACCGTGGACTGCCACGCCTGCCTTGATGAATTGGCCTCTGACATGCGCCGCCTCTGCCCCCTCCAGAAGGAGGCACTCCTCTACACTGGGAACTGCATCATCCGGTACTCGAGCGCCTCATTCTTCGGCACAGTTGCAACAGAACCTACCTACGTGGCGAGTACTGGTGAAGATGTCTCAAGCCCGAAAACGTACGACGCAGTGACGAAGAAGCTTCTGAACGGTCTGCGGGCCGAGGTAGCAGGTGGCGGCTTGCTGAGAAAGTACGCGTCAGAAAAGAAATCAGCAGGGTTGGACATGATCTATGCGATGGTGCAGTGCACGCCGGACTTGACGGAGCAACAATGCAGTGACTGCCTGGTAATAGGCTTCAATACCATCGGGGACTGCTGCGTCAGGTACACAGGAGCACGGTTCATGGTGCCAAGTTGCCAGGTCCTGTATGAGATCAATAATCCGTTCCTCGACTCGGTCACTAAGCCACTTACGCCGCCGTCGTGGGTGGGAGATGTGCCGCTTCCACCACCAGGTATGTTGGCTCTTGTACAGGAGTTAGGTATTGGGCATTTATGTCTATTTTTTTCTATAAAATTATGCGGATTTCGAATGAAATTCAAATAATCAATTCTTCATATGAGCTTAACCTACATACTCTATAAATCATAAGATTTTTTTATTGATATATGCTTAGTAGATCATGTAATTTTTATTGATTAAATGCTTTTTTGGCAAAAAAGAAGGTATCGGTTGGTCCATTTTTTCGGCAAAAGAAGATATGTTTAATCATGGATGCATCTACGTGGATATTAGTCATCTATCACAGTCAGTTCATTGAATCCCAACTTATGGCATTCATTGCTCACGAGCTGTCGTATGAGATTTTGAATCTAGGCTAGGTTAATGAATCAATAGCAAATGTTTGTTACTTCTCATCATTCAGTAAAAAGGAAAAGGGAAGAAAAAGAGAGGCTAAAACTTGCCTTAATTGTTTTTTATCATCCGAAAATGAAGCTAATAAAAATAAGAGTTCGTTTGTTTCGTGAAAAAATGTATCATTTTTTTAAAACATTTTCCAGCGATTTGATTTTTCGGTATTTGGTTAAAATCTAAAAAAGTAACGAAAATTATTTTCAATCCTTTGGTAAGGAAAATCGGATGGGGAAAATTATAAAAAAAATCGTATATTTTTTATATTTTTATTTTAATCTTTTCTTGTTTTTTTTCTTTTTGCTTCTTCCTTGGCCAGTAACGAGCCACTGCGACGAGGCTAGTGACCGGCCATAAGCGAGTTCCAGCCTCGCCCAAGGTCGGCAAGCTCGAGGCTCACCGTTAGAGGCTGCGAGCTCATCGGCCTCAGGTAAGCTCGTGCCTTGCCGCCAGAGGCTGCGAGCTCACTCGATCTGGTGAGGCCCAAGCTCGCCAGCTGAGGAAGAAGCAAAAAGCAAAACAATGAAGAAAATAAAAAGAAAGAAAAATGAAAAGAAAAGAAAAATTAAAAATAATTAAAAATTCCATTTTAAAATAAAAATAATTAAAAAATTCGATTTAAAAAAAATAATATGTGAATATGTTTCAATTTTTTTTATAAGAACAAACCATTTATTAACTAAGGACCTCATGCCAAAAAAAAAACTAAGGACCTGAAATCGAGTGCCATGGACCAGCGCACGATCTTTATGGACCTAAGCCTGAGAGTCGAGACCATAGCTCGAGCATCAAAGACTCAAGCATGGCCTTTATGGACTCGAGTTCGGGTGTTGAAGCATCGGGTACTGGCACCAAGGGTTCAGGCCTGGCCTTGATGGATCCCGGCGTGGGCACCGAGGCCCAAGCCTAGGACATCAAGGTCCCAGGCCCAGTCGCCGAAGACCTAGTCCTAAATGTCGAGACCCTGGAACCAACGTTGGGGTTTCCATACCCAAGCATAGAGTTTCTGGTTCAAGTGCCAAAACCTAGTTATATTTCGGAAAACCTGATTCTTGCAAAAAGGAAATCATTTTCCTGAATTTAAGCTTTGCTAGGAAAACCTTTTTTGTTTATTAGGAAAATATTTTCCATTGACCCATTTTTCTAAGCAAACCAAATGCCAGAAAATGAGGAAAATGTTTTCCGCGAAACAAATGGACCGAAGATTAATTAGCAATGTTAGACATTCCAAGAATTTTATCGAAATTCTCTAATTAGGTGTTCAAATAAATGGGACCGGTATATTAAATGATGAACAATCAATAAAAAATCAACATCACCTAATAAGAGGGTTTCAGTAAAATCTCTTATTACATAAAAGTGGGATAAGAAATTCCTCCAAATTTATATCTTATATTTTGGTTTGGCAAATTATTGAAAATAGACACATTCTGACCTTTGAAATGCTTTATGAACATAAGATACGAAAGGATAAAAACCGAAAAAAAAATGAAACAAATGAAAAAAAAAAACACACTATAACTAAAGGATGATAGATCTAATCAACGCCGCTGAGATGGTGGCCCACCCTGGCGCGGACGAGTGTGACTGTGAAAGAGAGATCGAAATCGATCTAGGGTTATAATCCATAGCAACCATCTCTAGGGTTAGAGAGGTTTTTTTAATTAGCAGTGATGGCCGCCACAGTGGCGTAAACCTGAATGAAGACTTTTCAATAGAGTCATGGCGTGCATGGAACTTGTAGGATGGACAAAATTAATGGACAACTCAAACCATGAAGTATTTCTTGCCCGTCTCCATATCTCTTTTCTTCTTCCTCAATTTTCTCACCGTTTATACTCAAGTTTCTGAATCAGCGCCTAAATATCTATGGCATTGCTAACCAAACACCATCTCCCTCTCTCTCCTGTTCTTCTTCATCAATATTCAAAGTACTGAATCGACACATTATTATCCATGCACTCACTGCCCAAATACCACCCTCTTCCCTCCAAACCCCACCTACCAATCCAACCTCAACACCCTCCTCTCTTCTCTCTCCTTTGCCGACACCAACAACACCGATGGGTTCGCCAATGCCAATGCCAGCCAAAACCGTCTTGACCAGGCCTAGGGGCTCTTTCTCTGTCGTACGATGCCAGCACCGCCACGTGCAGCAACTGTGTGGCCACTGGAAAACAGGATATCCTCCAAATATGTCCCTGTTGGGAAAAAATCAATTGAGAAGAATGGAATTAAACTTTGAGGTGTGTATACACTGTCTTTGTAGAATTATTTACCCCACAACGTTGCTAATTATTACTGGCAAAAATGCTTCAGGATACAACAAAGTCTCAAACGAGAATACCAAATAACAATTCTGATATTTCTCCACGAACTCTCAATATGGAAACAATTTAAAACAATGGCTATATATTTGAAGAAAGGAAAATTGAGAAGTAAAAATATTGAGACGGAAACGAAAATTTTTTTATAACAGTGTTTTAGAACAAATACAAAATTTCCTCAAAAAAGATACAACATTTTAATGGTTGTAAGACGCCTTATAACCATTAGCAAAAAATAACTGCACATATTAAAAATAAAAGCAAGAATAATAAACATTTATTAGTGCTAAGTGCGCCTAATAATCATGCACTTGCACGGGGTATGATAGAGTCTAGCCCACTTAGCCCATTATTGTCACGCCCCGAACCCCAACGGGCTCGCGACACCCCTCGATGGTCGATCATTGAACGCGACGTCCCAGGACGCGTCGCCGACCCAAACGAAACACCCAACGATAAAGGCAAGCGGAAGCGAATTTAAAACAACCCAGAAAATAAAATATGACAAAGGGATAGCACAAAACAATAATTCCAAATACACAACATCAAAAGGGAATAGTGGTGGGGTATCCTACTTCGCTATACAAAAGAGGGGCACACAAAATATGGGGTAACTTGACCCGTCCTCCATCCCCGAGATACCCTGGTGGCGTCTCCAATCAATCACGGTCGCAGATCTGAAAATGGTTATATAATAACCGTGAGAACGAGTCTCAATAAGCAACCCCCTATACCCCACATAGGCCAATGCGTACCCAGACAAGTTCAGCATGCAATCTACCCGATTACATATATATAATTCACATAAATGGACTTACCTCGCCATCCAATCACATGCCCACACTGCACATAAGTCAAATCATAATAATGCAATAATAGTCAATGAACACATCAAAATCATTCGAGCGCCATACACACGTACGTTCATCCAATTCAACCCAAACACATTTCACATGCGCATCCATCCAACTTTCACACGACCCGGGTCAACACCCCACAGGTCAGCCCTCCGATCAATCCGGGCTCTGTCCCGGGTCAACACCCCACAGGACCTTTCAAAAATAAACTTTCACACGACCCGGGTCAACACCCCACAGGTCCGCCCTCCGATCAATCCGGGCTCTATCCCGGGTCAACACCCCACAGGACCTTTCTTACTTTCACACAACCCGGGTCAACACCCCACAGGTCAGCCCTCCGATCAATCCGAGCTTTGTCCCGGGTCAACACCCCACAGGACCTTTCAAAAACAAACTTTCACACGACCCGGGTCAACACCCCACAGGTCAGTCCTCCGATCAATCCGGGCTCTGTCCCGGTCAACACCCACGGGACCTTTTAAAAATAAACTTTCACACGACCCGGTCAACACCCCAGTCGCCCTCCGATCAATCCGGGCTCTGTCCCGGGTCAACACCCCACAGGACCTTTCAAAAACAAACTTTCACACGACCCGGGTCAACACCCCACAGGTCCTTTCTCACAACCCGGGTCAACACCCCTCAGGTTGGCAGCCCTCCGATCGATCCGGGCTTGTCAAGCATACACGCCACATAATTCAATCAATTTCATGGCATTCACACGTTCAAATATCACCCAAGTGTGTCCAGACAACCACAATACAAAATTCACCATGCTCTTAGTCATATAAATCAATTTCAATCACCACCCTTTCACCAATGTCAATCTAGCACGCTACATCAGTCAACTCAATTCATGCTCCCCACATCGGCCCACCGACCCGACATTCAAGTCAACACATTCAATTGATTCCAATTCACCCACGAGCGCCACGACAATTCAGTCATACTATTTACCTCAGTCAATCACTAAATTAGCCACACAATTATCACCACAATAATTCATAAATTGGGCACACTCAATCTAATTAGCCCACGCCTAAATTAATTCCTAACCCGATATTAATCATATCCTAAACAAGTCTAAAAATACCCAAAGTACTAGGTAGGGTTTAGGAAGTCACTTACCTAAGTTTGGCCAGGGAAAAGTCGGCTCGGGCCTAAAATGGCCCGGGTGAACAGTGCCGAACTAGGCGTGGGCGCGGGCCAACGGGCGCGGTGGCCGGCCAATGCGGGCACAGTGGCCGGACGGTGTGCCTGGTGCGCGGGCGCGGTGGCCGATCGACGTGCCTGGGCGCGCAAGCGAGCAGGACGGGCGGCGTGCCCGGGCGACAGGCCGGCTGAAACGGGCAATGCGCCTGGGCGATGGGCGACGGGCCGAACGGAACGGGCCAAGGGCCGAGCGGGACGAGCGACGAGCCGGCCAATGGGGGCGCGACGCCGAGCGCACGGCCGAGAGGAGTTGGGCACGCCGGGACTCGGCCGGGCGAGCTCGGGCACGGCCGGGCACGGCTAGGCTAGCGGCCTGGATCGGCTGGCCGGGAGGGGCTGACTGGGCGGCCGGATGGCTGGTCGGCGGCAGGCCGGGCTGGTGGCCGTGGCGACGAGCGGCAGAGGCTCGGCCATGCCCAGGGCAGATCCGGGCCAAGGCCGAGCTGAGCGGCGTTGGGCGAACCAGGCGGGCTCGGCGGCTGCGGGGGACCGGCGGCACGGTGAGGGCCGAGTGGTGGCGGACGGAGCAGCGGCGGCGGCCGGAACGACGGCGCACGGCTGCTGGATGAGGCTGAGCCGGACGGGGGAAAAAGGAGCTCGGGGAAGGAGAGAAACAGGGGAAGGGGGATGGTCGCACGGCGGCCGGAGGCAGCACGGCGGCGGGGCGAGGCCGGACGAGCTACTCGGCGGCTCGGCGGAGCCTAGCCTCGTCGGACGCGGCGATGAGCTGAGCTGGGCAAGGGCGGGTTCGGTCCGGCGAAGGAAAACGGGGAAGGAGAAGGAGAGTGGGGGTCGTGGCGTCAACGCCGGTGGGGCGGGCGGTGGCGCGAGGCGAGCGGCCGGCGGCGGTCGGGCGCGGCGAGCGGCCGGCAGGGGACGAGCTTTGGCGGTCGGCGGCAAGAGGGAAGCCGAGTGGAAGAAGCGGGAGTCGGGGCGGAAGAGACGAAGAAGAAGAGGAATAAAAGAAAAGAAAAAAAGAGAGAGAAGGAGGAGACGTGAGCGGAAAAGAGGGGGAGGGACGTCGCATGCATGGGCGGACATGCGCAGCAGCGCGGCGAAGGAGGAGAGAGAGAGAGAGAGAGAGAGAGAGAGAGAGAGAGAGAGAGAGAGAGAGAGAGAGAGAAAGCAATGATCGCGATCCAACGGTCACGATTCGAACCCGAAAACTATCCCACGGTCCACGAAAATCCTAATTATAATTTAGGAAAAAGGGCCAAAAGAAAATAACCCAAAACACACTACGAGGAAGGTCCATTAGTCCAAATTCGCACCCGGTCAAAATTCCACTTTTCATATAATCCGGGTCATACCGACGCTAGCCACAACAATATCGACACCGTACAATTAAATTCGTCCCGAAACTCCCGAAAATCGACTGCCAAGTTCGGGGTCTAAATAACGGCCAAATTCGATCGAGTGTGATTCTAGCGAAATTTCTATTTTAAAAACGAGAACCCGAGAGTGATCAGTTCCCGGACGAGATTTCATTATAAGCGCACTGACGGATTACA